AGAGAGAGAGAGAGAGAGAGAGAGAGAGAGAGAGAGAGAGAAGAGGCCAGCAGGGCCCTTTTAAAAGGGAAAATGTGTACAGATGGTGCTCTTAGTGACTGCAGCTGAGGACATATCCTATCAGAACCTCACGGGCAGGCCAGTACAGATGCCTGAATACTAACATGTTTGGCTCGTTACAATTTCTTCTACATGACTGACAACTGCTTCAGCTCTACTCTAATAATGTGTTTTTCTTATAAAATGGCCAGGGTTAGAGTTTTCAATAAACTCCAATGCTCCTTAGCTCCTGTATTTATTACTGTGTACATTTCTTTAAAGATGTATTTACTTACACGTATGACGTATGTGTGTTTGGCTGTGTGTCAATGTGCACCAGGTGCGTGCAGAAGCCCCGAGAACAGAAGAGGGTGTTGTATCCCCTACAATTGGAGTTACAGGCAGTTACGAGCTGCCATATGGGGTCCTAAGCAGCAGCGGATGTGCTCATAACCACTGAGCCATCTCTTCAGCCCCTACTGTGGTTAGTTCTTTATGCTAATGTGTTTGCTTCTAAGCTCACCTTTCCTAGACTGCTGCTGGCTCCATGTCCTATTTACTTCCTACTCCATAGACAGCACAGTGCCTGAACACAATGGTTTATCAGTAAACCATTGTTGACTTAAAGCATTTCTCATGCATTATTTTTTTCTTAAATTTATGTATTATGTATACAGTGTTCTGCCTGTATGCTTGCAGGCCAGAAGAGGGCACCATATCTCATTATGGATGGTTGTGAGCTCAGGACCTCTGGAAGAGCAGCCAGTGCTCTTAATCGCTGAGCCTTCTCTCCAGCTCTATTTTTTTTTCTTCTTAATATACATGTGTTTGTGTGTCTTTGTATGTGGGTGGGAATGCATACCAGAGTGTGGGAGTCTATTCTCTCTCGTGTTACCAGGTTCAGCAACAAGCACCTTTAACCTACAATCTAACCAGCCTTCCTTGTGCATTTTGAGCTTCTTCCTTCAGATTTAATTTGCAATGGAAAATATGACAGAATAATAATGTTTGGATTTAGAGGGCATGCTGGCTCTTTATATGTCAACTTGACGCACTCTAGAGTCATCTGGGAAAAGAAAATCTCAGCAGAGAAAATGCTTTCACCAGATTGGTCTGTGGGCAAGCCTGTGGTACATATTCTTCATTGACAATTGGTGTGGGAGGGTGCAGCTCACTGTGGGCAGTGCCACCCCTGGGCTAGTGGTCATGAGTGCTATAAGAAAGCAGGCTGAGGCTGGTCAGTAGTGGCGCATGTTTTTAATCCCAGCATTTGGGAGGCAGAGGCAGGTGATCTCTGAGTTCAAGGCCAGCCTGGTCTACAGAGTCAGATCCAGGATGGTTAGGGCTACACAGAGAAACCAGGCCTGGGCGGGGAAGGGGCAGGGGGTGGGGGGAGAAAAAGGAAAAGAAAAGAAAGCAGACAGGTCCTGTTCTCTGCATCAGCTCTTACTTGTCTGCTGTCCTGTCTTGACTCCCCAAGGGATGGACTGTGATGGGAAAACTGTAAGCTGAAATCAGTCTTTGGTCCTCAAGTTGTGTTCAGTCAGGGTTTTCACATAGCAACTAGGTCTTAAAGGTCACCTGAATAATCTCTCGAAAGTACACACCCAGGCCTATTTAGGATCCCACAGATGGTTGGTCACTGTTCTTAAGAACCACACCCTTCTAGGAAAGGGAATTTCCCCCAACAGAGGCCGAGCTATTTTGTTGTTGTTTGTGTACAGGAGCTTCATATACTCAGAAACAAAGATGAATTCTCTGATCAGTGTTTGACATTTCATAGTCTGTGTTCCACAACTTATGCATCAGAACTAGGCAGATCTGGAAACTAGTTATATTTTAAAGATTTTTTTAATGTTTATTTTTTATTTTTATTTATTTATTTATTTATTTATTTTTGAGACAGGTTGCTCTGTGGCTTTGGAGGCGTCCTGGCACTTGCTCTGTAGACCAGGCTGGTCTCCAACTCGCAGAAATCTACCTGCCTCTGCCTCCTGAGTGCTGGGGTTAAAGGCATGCGCCACCAACGCCAGGTTTAAGATTTATTTTATCTTTAATTATGTACATATGTTTATGTCTGTGTAAGTGTATACTGTGTGGGTGCCTGTGGAGTTCAGAAGAGAGTTTTGCTCACTGTCTAGACCAGGCTGGCCTGGTCAGAGAGATGCTCCTGCCTCTGCCTCTGGAATCCTTAGGGTTAAGTTGTGCACCACCATATCCAGTTGACCTGCTAACTTTTACTCACAATACTACAGTTTGGTTTCCTTAGGTGTACAAATCTTGCTTTGGAAGGATTCATTTTGAGAGGCTGAAAGAAGAGGAAAAGAAAAACTCAGTCAAAAATGTAAAAGTTTAAACTCCCTTCTAAACTAGATTCAGACTTCCATCTCCATTTCCTTCTATTTTCCCGACATAGTACACCCTCTGCTCAGCAAATCTGGCCTTTGTGCCAAGGGGTGTTTAACTGAACAGCTCCATCATCGGGAGAATGAAAGTGTTAATTTTCATTAATGGGAAAAAATGTGGTTCAGAGGAATAAAAGTAAGAGTGAAGGAAGGAAGAGAAAAAGTGTAATGAAAAGATCATACGCAAATGCCGAAGTGTCAGTGTTCACCTTATCTGTCCATTTTCCTGCAGTTAATCAGCATTAATATTGTTTCAGAGAGTTTAGTAAATACTGGCAATTTATCAAACATCAAATATGAAAAGATTTTGGAAAACGTATATATTAGGTAAATAGAACAAAAAGGGAAAAGTAAATATGGATTTAATACATTAAAAACATACTTGATAGCTAGCTGACTGAAATCTATATTTAGCTTGTGTGGAGGGGAAGCAATGGGCTAACATTATATTAAGTAAAAAGAAGAAAAAGTAGACTAACAGGGCGCCCGGATAGCTCAGTCGGTAGAGCATCAGACTTTTAATCTGAGGGTCCAGGGTTCAAGTCCCTGTTCGGGCGGCTGGAAATTTTGCACGACTAACTTAAATACTTGGTTACAGAGCATCTTTGATGTCCTTTTGTCAAGAAAGGTGACTTTTAGCTGTATTTTTCATAGAATTAAAGAGATTTAAGGGTATGGTACATACTCTTAAGAAGGTGAAGTGTTGACAAAATTTTGTTCTTCCGCGCGGAGGGAGGTCCGAGTACAGAGTCGCTGTTATCTTGTCCAAGTCCTCACCAGAGAAGAATAATAACAGAAAGCATACATTAATTAGCTTAGGCTAAGTTTTTACAAATTGTACAATTGTTGCTGATGTGAAGAGAGGGGCGGTAAGAAAAGAAAAACTGAAGCGCCCGAACAGGGACTTGAACCCTGGACCCTCAGATTAAAAGTCTGATGCTCTACCGACTGAGCTATCCGGGCTCTTACAGAACGCGTTCGTTCTACTGTGCTTTACATAAGAGTAAGGAACCTTGTGCAATTGCTCCCGCCCTAAACGCTGCGTTCTCGCGAGAGTAAAAACAGTCCAAATAATGCTTCCAGTTGGGTTGCTGACTCCTTTCACGATTGTGAGATTCATGTATATTTCCCTCGTTAGGTAGATTTTGATCTGGAAACTAATTACGCTCGAAACTCAGTAGTAACAGACGTGGGTCTCTTTTGCCGTTGACAGCAGTGACGACATCCGTGCTAAAACCCTTGCAACAGAGGGAGTTTTAAGAGCTACTTCAAACATGCCGTTCTGCAGGGAATGGTCTGAGAGGAGGGGTGCTGAGATTGTCCTGTGAATCTCCTGACCGTGTTCAGGTAATTTTACTCGATACACCACCGAAGTCGCCACTGTTACCTTCCTTAGTAAATTGAGCACAGCCCTCCGCTACGGAGCTGGCTTGAGAATGGGACTGTAAAGAGCTTTTGTTTTTGCCGATTTTGCTTCCCCTTAATTCCTTTCGTAATTGTCTTCAGAGTGATTGCTTTGGTCTAGCAATGCTACTTGAAGAAATTCACCTTATAGCGATGGGGGCTGGAGGCATAGGGCTATATGGTCAGGCCTGCATGAAGGAGAATACTAGCTCACAGCTGCCTGAAGGTCCAGCTCCCGGGGACCCGAGATCCCATCAGCCGCCTCACCCAAGGCAGGACCTGAATTCAATTCCCAGCACCAACATCAAGCAACTCTCAACTGCCTGTAACTCCAGATCTATTGATGCCTTCTCTGGCCTCTGTGGCACACACATGCATACAAAAAATAACCACAACGACATGAATATAAGTTGCAGTAGAACACTTGGAGCTTGCCGCAACTATAAAAAAAAAATCCAAAAGTGTACAATAGTGGAGTAGGCCTTTAATCTAGCACTTCACAGCCGGGTTGGACAATCTTTGTGAGATTGAGGCCAGCCTGGTCTAAATAGTGCATAGGTCTGGGTCAGCCAGGGCTACACAGTAAAATCCTGTCTGCAGTTAGAGAGTTGTGGCCTACAACATGGGATTCTTCTACCCGTGTAGAAGCTCACAACTTCTATAATACCAGCCCTAGGGAATCAAATACCCTGTAGGAGCCTTTGCGGACAACAGTCATATATGTGGGCAAGATACTCATACACACACAAAAAAATAGAAGTTATGAAAAAAACAGTCTTAAAGATAATAACCCAACTAAACAAAAAGGTGCAAAACATTTAAAAGGAACATATACATACATAAGTCCTTAAGATTGGTCCGGCAAGATGGATCAATGTGTAAAGGCACTTGATGCTAAACCTGAGGACCTGAGTTTGATCCCTGGGACCCACATCATGGAAAGAGAAAATCAGCTCCGACCGCCACACATAACCTGCCCCTCATACACAAAATAAAAACATTTATAAATCTTAAACATCTAAAGACATGAATGGAGCAGGTAAATACCAGACTCAGGAAAATGATTCTGAGTTTGAAGCTGGGAGAGGAAATTTCTTTGTGTAGTTAAGTACTATTCCTTATGAAGAATGGTAAGGAAAAATTATGTTCATCTTCATATCCTTTATAGGGATGAGGGAGTTATCACTGTAGCTTTGTTTCAGAAAGGTGATAATCCAAGAATTGTCTTCCAATTCTTTTAAAGTCAAAAAGGGCCATAGGGAAGCCAGTTCATCTGTTTTATTTTATAACTTGAGACACTAAAGACATATAACTGGGTAATGTTCTGGTTTCAAGAAACAGCCATAACAGAGATCGGATTTCCTATTTGTTTATGTCAAGAGTCTTCCTTGAGAAGGAAGTGGCAGATACCAAGACCAGTTAGGAACTTTTATGCTAGTTTATTTTTTGTTAATTTTATTTGATTGGTGTATTTATGGTTTACATTTTTGTTTTGTCTTGAGACAGGATGGTCTCTCTTGATGTATAGATCAGGCTGGCCTGGAATTCACAGAGATCCTGTTTCTGCTTCTGGAAGACTGGGATGTACTACCTTGCCAGGCCATGGTTTACTTTATTCATTGAAGTCCTATGAAAAGTACAGAAAAGATGGAGATATGATGTTAGATGGTAAGCACTGTCAGGCAAGTTCATTGGTGGTTTAAGAACCAGGCTAGGGCCCGGTCGTTGGTGGCACGCACCTCTGCCTCCCGAGTGGTGAGATTAAAGGTGTGTGCCACTGATGCCCAGCTTAGATTGTTCATTTTAAAGAATCAGAATTGCATGAGGGGATTGTAAGTCCAAGATTTCAGCAGACAGTAGTAAGGAATCTAAGCTAGCCAGATACTATTTAAAAGACAGAAAACAAATTCCTGTTGGGAAATTAATTAATTAATTAATTTGAGAGTGGGATCTCATGATATAGCCCTTAAGGACCTAGTACTTACTATGTCAGTATGGTGGGTCATGCTTGTATTCTCAGAATTTGGCAGGCAGAAGACTGACTATAGTTCCAGACCAGTTCACACTATGTAATAACTTACTGGACAGCTTGAACTACAGAATGTGATCCTGTCTCCAAAACAGAAGAGAACCAAACCAAAGTAACTAAATAAAAAGTAGTTGCACAAAGTGAGAGGGGGAAATACTTGACCTGGGTTTACCTAAAAGTGTGCTTCCCTCTCGTTTGAGGAACCATTGTTGACTTCAAGCTCATTGTCAGTGAGACTGTACAAAGTGGAAGATTCCCTTAGGGCCTTCAGAAAACTCTGAATCTCCCAGTGGGGAAAAGGTTCTAAGAAGGAGCTGGGCACAGTGGTGCATGCCTTTATTCCCAGCCCTCTGGAGACATAAGCCATGGGATCTGTGAGTTCCAGGCCAGCCTGGTCTACATAGTGATTTCGGGGACAGCCAGAGCTAATGGAATAATGTTAACATTAGAAATAACAAATTCGTACTGTGCTACAAAATGTCCAAGTAATAAATTCGTAGTAGAGAACTGTCATGTGTAAATCGAGGGAGATTGCTGCCCTGTTTTCTTTGCATAACATAAATCCGTATCTATTTCTGGGAGCCACATTTTAACACGAACAAGTTCTTGTCCAGAAAATACCGACCAGGGTAACAAGGAGGCTCATTGACATGTCAAAAAAAGAAATAATCAAAGGATCAGGAAGGTTTAGCCCATAGAGAAATGAGAGGATTGGGGCTGGGATACGGAGGCTGTCCTTAAAGAACTGGGGGTGGGAGGAGTTAGAGTGGCACAGTCTTTAATCCCAGCACTTAGACTTGAGGCAAAAACTGGAGGATCTCTGTGAATTCGATGCCAGCCTGGTCTACATAGAATTCCAGGACAGCCAGGGAGACAGAGAGACCCTGTCTCAAAACGAAACAAAGCAAAAGAAACAAAAATGAAAACGGGGTAACATTTATATTGGAAGTAATGAATCAGTACTGTCCTCCAAAATACCCAGCTATTAATAGAAGTTACAAGACAAAACATTTCAGCTCACAAATTCCTCTCTCAGGATTGTACCGAAATAAATGAGATTGTCTGGGGGTGGTGATAACGCTTGGCACTGGCAGAGTTTAAAGGCAGTTTGCTTGAGATAGTTTGTGAACTGCCGGGGGTGGTGGGGAAGCATGACCTGATTCTGTGATGTAAGTTAAGCTCCGTCTCATTGTTCTTTGCCCCTCTCTTTTGGCGTTTATCACTTATTTTGGGGTTATTCGTGAATAAACCACGTTGTATGTTCCCCAGTGAATAACAACCGGGATGCCGTTTCCCTCGGCGGCTACTTCTGGGAGTGTAAGGATGAGCAAATTATATTAAGGTTTTTCTGAAGAGCTGAAGGCCACCTCTGATTATGCTCTTTGCTTCCTTCTGTTTTGATCGCCGGGGCTATCGCAAGATCCCGCGACTTCTCCCTATTCCCTTTCAAAACTTCTTTGTGCAGGGCACGGTGCAGCGGACGAAGTGGACCTCTGTGAGTTCGAGGCTATCTTGGCTTACATAGTGAGTTCTAGAACAGCCGGGGCTGCACAAAGAGTTCCTGTCTCAAAAGTAAGGTAAAATATATAACTATCTCTAGCGCCCACGCTCCATGACTGGAGACTCTCTTCCCGGATTAGCATCTACTCGATGGTAGGCTCTTCAGCCGTTCTAGCGCTCTAGTCTTCCAGGGGCTCCTCTATGGTTTCGACGGCCTCCCCGGAAGCTCTTGCGAAGGCTGACTTTGAGAGAGCGGAAGTCGCCCCGCCG